GACACTGACAAGACACTGAAACTTTAAGCTGTAGGATGCCATGGTACTCAAAGTGAGCCTCTTGTTACTATTTTAAACTGACTTCCTTTGGTAGTTCCTGCACAACTTGGGATAGTTGGATAATCTTAGGGTGCTGATGACTTAGTGAAGAATTTTAGGAAGCTTGTGTTAGAAGTAGAACATACCTGGAAGAACAGAGCAGTTGAAGTTGCTTTGCAACTTTATTTTTTGAGGCCATACGTGTTTGTTCACCTCTGTAAATGCCTAGGTTGTTCGTAGGAAGCGTGAGGAATGAGTTGAGGCTTGTTGAAGCCATAGAAGAGGCAAGCTGAAATGCTGCTGGATACGATTATTGGGTGAAGTGTATTTGCGGTGTTGTGAGGACTGCACGGTGGTTTGCCTCCAGGGTGCACCCATGGTCTAATTTTTCCGATGCTCTCTGTGCTAGAGAGAATTCCAGGAACCAGGGTCCAAATGGCATAAGAACCTCTAGAGCCAAACTTTAGGTTTTTGCAGAAAAGGCGGTAGATATCCTTGGTAGTGGTACGATGCAAATGGCTGGGCAGAGATGTGGCTGCCCCGTGTAGGTGCTCAGTTCATGGTGCGAGGGACAGCTCTTTAGTCTGCCAGCATGAACGCTAGACTTAAAGCGTCTGTGTTCCTTTTTTGCTTCTAATAAAACTTAAGGTGATTACAAGGGGAATTTTAAAATCAAAACTAGAAAACATGGGTAACTACGGAGGTCCTTACAATTCAGTAATGCATCCCTTTAGATAGGACAGAAGTCCAAGTTGAGGAAAGAAATCGCAAAGAGTACTTCAGGTAAAGTCAAGGTTGCCGTGCACACAGACTATAGTCAATTACAGCACCGTGTCAGGCAGAGCTGATGTAAGTTAAGATGGGTTTAGCTGACTCATTGTTAAGGTGATCAGTAAGAAAATCAGTAAGAAAATGCAGGTAAGATAACATTTATTGCCGGTTTTGTATTTTGGATTTATTTTTACCAAACACAATATGTAACTTATTGCTTATTTAGTCTTGCTTTCAGAGGATAGCAAACTGAATTTTTATTTCTTAAACCATTTCTGAAGTAAGTATTGTATAAACTGATTAAAACCTGTGGAGATTAGGATGAGCTGCTTTAAACCAAACCACTAACTAGGTAAACTTTAGGAGGGGGTGACATGGTTATGTAGAGAAAGGTCATACCTCAGAAATTCTAGGTGTGTGAGAATGATGTGGTCTGTGTATATCGCCTGTCAGCGGCATTTTGAAAATGTTATTTGCTAAGGGCTCTGCCTATCATGTGATATTCTGATACAGTAAAGGTCCTCTTGTGGTTTAAAAGCTAGTTTGAAAAGCTGCTAAACAGATAAAAATAAGTAATGAGTCATCCCCTAATGGAGGGAGGTCTTTGGTGGGGCACATCACATTTTAAAAAAACTAATCTAGGGAAGGGGACTAAGATATTTGTCAAAGCAAAAGCTCTCCACAGTTTTGTAAGTCTCTGACTGCAGCAGGGTGCAGGAGGATCTCTTAGTAAATGGGAAATAATCTGAACTAATACATTTTTGATGAGTTCTGGATTAGTCAATACCAGGTGAATAGTGCTTGGAACAGTGGATACAGTGCTTGAAAGCCAATAAAGAACAAATACAAAAGCTTTGTTGTGCTGCTGTATGAGCAGTGCCATGTCTGCGTCTAGATGCAGGCAGTTCTCCTTGCCCTGCCTTGAAACAGTACAGCAGAACTGGAAAAGTAGCACACAAAGATAATCAGGGCTCTGGAACTACTTAGGGAAGTAAAATAGGCTGTTTTCAGAAGTGATAACAAAAGACCAGATGTATACTATACCTGGTTTCAGATTTGTAAAAATGGTAGTTTTTTGAGGAATGGATCTATGTTTAATTAATGACAGAAGTTGCTAAGTGACAAAAAGGGACTTTTGTCTAGTACTTCCTTTTGACAGCAATTAGAAAACTCATTTTCTAAAACTGTCTTTATAAACTTGACAGTGCTTTAATTTTACACAGACATACAAGAAGTTTATTTAAAAAGTCAGATTAATTTTTTCCTCTGGCAGAAGAGCAGTGTGTACCCCTGCAGGCGTAAGAGGAGTTGCTCTTTTGCCACTTTGACTTAGCAGGCTGAACTGGATGGAACTTCAACCAGGGAAAAACATTTGTTTAAAACTTGCTTGTGAGTGTGGTCCAGGCTCCTAGTGGACCTAAGTACTTCTCTTGCCTTTGAATGCAATGAAATTTGCATTCATTGAATTTCTGAATATCAGTTATGTATATTGCTGATGTAAAACCATCTTTTTAATCATAACAAATATACCAGGAACTAAAATGTGATGGGAGCCGGGGGGGGGAAAGAATCCAACCGCACCTTCCTGTGGTGCGGTTAGTGTTTGGTTAGTGATCCATGTGTAAACCAGGTCAATGCAAGTAGTACCTAATTTTGAGCTGTACCTGTTGCCATGCTGTAGGTTACCACTTCTGGAACATAACTTGTTCTGGAACCTGTTCCAGAAAGATGTATTCTGGTTGGAACAACCTAGGTATAATATCTGCAATTTTTTTTTTTTCCTGGAGTACATGTTAAAAAAATAAAATGCTGAAGTTGGTGGGTTAGGGCAAGTTATGACCTACTTTTTTCTTCAAAATAATTGATTATTTTTTTTCTTCCACTCATCTATGTTTTGGGTTTTTTTCCTTGTGTTTTTCACCTGCAGGGATGCCTGCGGTGTGTAATCCAGGCATGGTACCAGTGGCGATACCACCTCCTGCGGTCAACCCTCAGCACCTGTGTAATGAAGAAGACCTGAAATCTATCCAGGACATGTTTCCCAACATGGACAGGGAAGTAATCCGCTCAGTGCTAGAAGCTCAGAGGGGGAACAAGGATGCAGCTATCAACTCCTTGCTTCAGATGGCTGAAGAATCATAGATACCCACTTCCTGCATAGTCCCCATCCTCGATGCCACTTACTTTTATTTGCCAAGCCAAGGATTTAGCTAGAGGAAGAATTTCCCAACAGCTTTCTGTTAGTGCATCCTGTGTGAAAGAATATTACCCCCCTTCTCCTTGGACATTTGGATCATTTTCACTTTCTTTCTCGATCCGTACATACTCAGTTTAGCTTCTGTCCTACAGTATAGCATTGAAGCATCTTTACAATCAGCTGTGCCCGTGTGGCTGTATTCTGACGGGGTGGGGAGTAATGCTGCTTTTTTTCCTTTCTCTCCCCCTTTTCATAAACTTGTTCTTACAAAGTAACTCTATGCAGTACAGGATTTACTACTGTTTGTTCGATTGAATTTTTTTTCTGTGGAGAGTTAGCTCTTTAAACACAACTGATTTGTTGAAGTATGTAGGTTTTATCAAGCAGCCTATTTCTGCCAGAAATTAAAAGAAAGACGCTTTCCTCATACTGTGGTGTTTACTTATTGCAGTGATATATTCAATTGTTTCTGATTGAAGATTTTTAATTTAATAAGCTAAATTTCTTAGGTTGCGCTGTTGATATGTGTAATAAGCATCTTCTATTCAATCTAGTCATCGGGCACCAAAGCAATGTATTATCTGGCGTGCATTTGGGGCTCTCTCCTCCCATCTAGTATTGTTATATATCTATAAAATCTTCACAGGTAACTTTGAACTCCTACAGTATGTATTGCTGTAGCAGAGAACAGGACTGAGCCCTAATGTACTCCCACAGTTAATTGCACTCTAACTACGACTTCTGCATTCCCATGGCTATTTCAAAGGATAAGTGCAGAGGGAAACACTTTTACACCTGGAAGATTACTGAAGCCGTAAGCAATTATTTAAGGTGTCGTCTTGTATTAAAAAAGCAGAAATCTATGATCTGGTTATAAGGCTTCTTTCTTTACACATTTCATCAAAATTGTTGTTTTATATTAGTGGAAAAACTTGTGTTTTTTCCTGTAAACTAAGATAAGAAGCACGAAAAGTAGCTTCAGAATCTTTGAATGGCATTATGGGTTACTCAGTGACTTGGTAGACTACGGTTGCTGTAGTGAAGTTTTTATTTGATGCAGATGTAATAAATTCTTTGCAAGAGAAAATTTAACATATCTGAGTTATAGTCTGATCCTCAGAAGAGGCTGGAGGTTGCTTCTATTTATTGTTAGTATTATTTGTTCAGATAACTGTTCATCTTGGAGCTGCAGATTCTTACAGTAGGCACCAGTGATACCTGTTGGATGAATTTCTGTGGTGTCTGTTTTTGTAGATGGTAAATTAATGCACTTTAAATAGTATGCACCAGTTTATTTTTCCAGTGATGTGCAATGTTGCTGTTTTATCTTTTTAATGTTTGATTTAAAATACTTTCTACAATAGCCATAGACCTTTATATTTTCAAGAGTTGGAATGAATGTACACTTGAAATCTAGGCTCTTGAGTGAGATCCATGAGAACATTAAAGCCAGGTTTGGAACAAGGAAAAGGGACCTGTATTCTCTTCTTCCCCACACTTTGTTTCATGTCCTGTGCTTAAAGTATTTTCATTACCTGCTGAAAAGCTGATTTTTATCTGCAGCCCCCTCGCCCCATTCGAGAAACCTTTAAGTTGGACTGCCGATAGTGCATGACTATTTATTTTTTTTATGATTAAAAGTGATACTGAAACTTTTAAAATACAGCACCAAAAATCATCTTAGTTTCTGACCTTTTAAAGCTGTCTTCGTAATGTACAATTGTAAGTTTTGTTGTGAATCCATCTTAAATTTACTGTTAAAAGCGTAAATGTCTTTATGCATCCTCCCATTGGCTTTTCAGTAATGAGTTTCAAGGCTCTAGTTTCTGTATGCTTTGGTTGTAAAGTCACCACATTTTTATTTTCTAAAATAAAACGGGTGTTCATCAAGAAACTAGTCTTGCCCTTTCCGTACAATCGTGGTAAAATTTGTTTTTAAGTAGGTGTAGAGGCATTTGGTCTTTACAGCACAGTGATCTGTGACATTGTCACCCAAAGGGTAAATCTTGGTAAGGATTTAATGCTTGGATATCTGCAGGAAGAGTCCCTTGCTCTAACTTTTACACAGATAACATGAATTGCTAGGGATGGAATAATTCAGGGAAAATGTATATATTTAAATTTTTATATTAAAACACGGGGATCCATAATACAGCTTTTTATAAAAGCAGATGGTCATGGTTCAGTTTACTGGCTGGTGAATTGTACTGCCTCCTGTACAGCTCAGTTTCAAGCACAGAATAAAGACCTTCCACTCCTAGCCGCCAGGAGGGGTAAGTGTGAATGCTGGGTTAGCCAGGTTTAATCCTAAACTAGGCTCTGGGCCTCTGAGAGGGGCTCCTGTTCTTAGATTTTTTTTGTTTTGTTTTGTTCTAGGCAAATGTTACACAAAACAAGGCAGGTGTCTAAGTGGAAGGTGGGGTATGTAGGAGCAGTATGGCCAGGGGATGGATTTCAGCATGTTACGCCATACTTAAATATCGTTCTGGGGGTTTTTTTCTTGATTTAATTAAGCATCGTAACTGAAACTCTTATGTCAAGATGTGCTACTTTATCTTCTTAAAAAGAAGCACACACTGATCATCAGCCTACTCAGCTTTTCAGCACACATACCCTCTCAGTCAAACTGTTTGCTGCCAGGTTTGAATTGGGGAGAGATGAAAAAGGCAGGGAGTGGTTAGTTATCCCAGGGCCTCTGAAACGAAGGCATTGGAACTGAAAGTCTGTTTCTTGGTTTAAAACAGTTATGTTGTCACTCGGTGTGACTGTAGCTTTTGACACAATGCTAATGGGATAATACTGTGTTTGATGCTGCTCTTCTGCTCAACAGCTTCCAGCAGCTTGGAGCCAAAGCCAGCTGTGTAAGACTGGCGTCTGCTAAAAGTTAGTGCTCTTAGTGCTAGTTTGAGTCCTGCCAAGAGCCTACACTTGCTAAAGGTAGGAACATTTTTTGTCTAGCTAGATCCTTGCTACTTTTCTTCTCTACTGCTCCTTGCATCTGCTGATGGTACTGAATGTTTTTTTCCTTACAAATGTCATTGTTTGGTTGATATGTAATACCATACAGAGGATGTTTTTTGCTGTAATAATTCTGAAGACATTGTTTCTCTGTATTGAGGTCCAGTGTCCAAATGTTTCTTGCACTCTAACTTTTCATTCTAATTTAATAAATGTGTCATCTAAATGAAAGTGTATTACGTCTCTGTTGGAGAGCACCGCAGCTGGAGTCTTTCTCTATAGACTGATCTTGAACTCACGTGTCAGTTACTGTCATTTATTCAGTCTTGCACATTAGTTAACAGGTTAAACTGGTTCTTAACGGGATCATCTGGTGGGACTAGTATAGTAAACGCTCAGAAGCATTCATCTCTAGGTAGATGCCTTTTTCTAGGTGCTATTTTCTCAAGAAAATGTTACAGTATTGCAGGTCTGGAGAACAGAAAGAGGCAGCAGGGAGGTTGCATTGTTCGAAGGACAACCTTGGAGGGCACGGGAGGAGGGAAGAGCAGCGTGTGGGCATGGAGGAGATGCTCTGCGGTGTGAACATGTGGAGAGTGCTGTCCCGGTGAAGAGTTATGAACTCTACCTTCTTGTGTGCTGTTTCAGCTGCAATAAGAGCTGGCTTTATCTGCTAACTCATAACTAATGAGTTTTAAAGACTTGGTTTACATAGCATCTCTCTTTAATTATGTGATTGACTGAAAAACTGAGGTCCTATTTCTCATTTAACAACATTGCTGTGTGCTGTAGTAACCGCTCTGCAGCAGTTACTATTAATCAGATGCTATTCTGTACCATTAGTGTGTTATCAAGCTAACATTTTGGGGTTTGCTGTCTGTCTTGGTGTCAGGACCACCACC